CAAATGTCCCAAGTATTTCTTTATCTGGTTCCGCTCATATTCCTTAAAGTCTCTCCACCAATCCCACAACAACTGTGGTATCTGATCGACAATCAGAAAATCTGGTATCCCTTCTGATATGGGCCTCTTTTCAGACCTACCTCTTTCCCCACTCATGGTATACCTGTCTAACCAGACACGGGGTTAGGCCTTGATCAAACATATTATTGACACACAAAAATTCTGATTTCTCGGGTTTTGACTCCATAAAAGAATATAAATAAATAAATAAAAACTCAACTGTGGGACTATAAAAAATATTTTTGGATTTAGTATTTTTTTTTTTTTGGATTTTCTAAGGAAAGAATCGTAAATAGGGAATTTAAGGAAAAGGAAAACATTTTTGATTTTTTTTTTTGAAAATTGAGGCCGGAACCGATGAGGTTTGCCTACGTATCTCACATCCGGTGAGAATCAGGCCCGCGTAGTTCGGTAAAAATCGACTATGTTCTTTTTTTTTCTTTTTTTATTTTTATTTTAATGAAAATTAATCTTCAAAAACCATATGCGCTAGACCACATCATTTTTTTCTCTGTTCGTCCAACTGATTTATGCTAAAGTCGGTCGACATGAAAGCCTCCCAAATAATGCAACAAGTAGCACATAACATGACATAATGGTCTCAACCAGGTACCTGTCCTAAAACAGAACTCGGCCCATGAGTCGACTGCTGCTAAGTCAAATGCACATGATGCAAATAAAGCGTAGCCTACTAGGGATATTCATTGCTTGTGGCTTATTCTTCTAAGTTTGTAAATCCTAAAGGAGATGGTATCTAGANNCAAAAAGATAATGTGTATTATGAATTGTGGGTTAAAGAGTTTTTCCAATTAAAGTGACAAATTAGATTAGGGATTATTTTTATTTATAGAGTCGCCACTTGGAATTGATTTTTGGTGTTCCAAGTCACCTTTTATTTGAATCCCTAGTCAAAGGAAGGTTTGACTCCTTTATTATTGGTATGCGAAAATAAAGTCCGGATAAGTAATTCTGTTGACCGGGGAGAAGGTATAAGGTATTCCTCGATTTTCGTAGTTCTAGTACGGTCGCTTTATTGACTACAACTTGGCTTGAATTAATTTTAGATAAACTGTGATTTATTGGTTTCTATGTTTTATCTATCCGCTTTTAATATTTATGGAATTTGTTTGAACAAGTCGCGATGTCGCGCGCTCGTTTATTTTTGTACATATTGCGAACCGCATCACGGGAACCGTACTCATAGCCTGATTTATTTACGCGCCTAAAGCAAACTACGATGTTCTTCCTCATAGCTCACACAAGCAAAAGTCATCTGTAAAACATAAGCCAATGGGAAATGAAGTTATTTATCAAGTTAACCCATTGTTTTTCCACTTTTGGACTTCCTAATTAAAATAATGCATTTTATGCAACATGTTTATGCACTTCTGTCTCTCACGCACTTGAATTGTTAAGGGGGAAGATAACAAATCTGCAAATATATATCTAATTTGTTATAGTGAGAATGATATGATACAATATGACAACTAGAACTACGAAAGCATATCAAATTGGCGTGTGGTTGCAGTTAAGCGGGAATTTTAACCACGTACAAACTTGTAACAATATCGATAGGCACATTTACACAAGATCTACTTTAGTGGCCAGCCATAGAAATCTGATCAATCCCTCTTAACAACTCAACATCAATGATCCAATAATACCAAAACAATTGATAAACAAGATAAAATCACACGTGAAAGCATGCTAACAGAGAATAGGGGATCCATCAATAACATTCATCAAGCTATTATAATAAGATGAGATAAGAACAAAAAAGAACCTTTTATAGATGCGTCTGAACTTCGATTCCTTGACAACTTTTGAAGCTCAAATACCAACAAAACTGCGTACAAGACCTCAACAGAAACTCGACCAAATCGTCGGAAACTCGAAGCCGACTTAGGAAACTCACTAAACTCCGGTGACTTTACACGACTGAAATGGAGCTTAAACTGCAGCTCTTTCAGTGATGTAAGAAGCTGATTTCCGGACTGCTTTAGTGGAGGTTTTGTTACATTTTTTGGACTATTTTGGGGACTGTTCACGAGGGAAAAGAACTGGCCGGAGATGGCAAAAATCCGGCGAAATGCCGGCGATAGTGAGCTAGCAGAGAACGATTTTTTATGGCTTCGAACAGACTGGTTTTTAGGAGGGGAATAGAGCTTAACTAATGAGATGCTCTAATGGCTGCTTTGTGTACTACTTTGGAGCCACGTTAATGGAGTAATGAAAAGAGACCCGTGAACTCTATTTTTTGTAAGCTTTTGCTGAACTCTATTTTCGTGTGTTCAACCAGCTCCCTCTTTTCTCGTTTCTTTCTGTTCTCTTTTCTATTTGTGTGAGTGTGGCTATTTTTTTTTTTAGTGTGTGAAAGATCTCATGACTCAAAGGATCTCTTGGGGAAATTTAGGAAATTGGGGTGCTTCCTTTTCTTTTTGAAGACAGCAGCGACTCCCCTTTTTTTTTGGTTCCTCTCCTTTTTTGTGTGTTGTGTGTGTGTTTTATAACTGAAAATGGGGTATGGGGTTTGTGATAGGAGACAAGCATGGGGGACAAAGAGTGGGGAACAATGAAGAGAGTAGGGAGCAAAGTGTGGGGGACAAGCATGAGGGACAAATGAAAGTGGAGTGGGGACATGCCTGGGAAGATGAGAGCGGGAAATATTCAAGCACGGTAAAAAATTAGGTGCTCACAATGTCCATTTAGAAAAACAATAAATAAAAAATATAGCTTACTAAATATAGCGTTAACTTAGTAAGCTATTCTTTTACAAAAAAAGTTAAAGATTATATATATTAATTTATGGTCAAAATTAATAAGTTTGACTCTCGAAATTCGAAAAGTATTATCTTTTTTTAAACTAAGGGAGTACTACTTTAATACTAACGGTATAGTTGAAAACAATTGATAAATTTAATTTCGAATTCCCAAGGTGACGATTATTTTGGGATAATTTTTTGAGTTAAAGCAACGGTTAAAATGGAAAGGAGGAAGTAAAGCACATGGATAGAAAATCTTCAATGTTGGTTTGCATCTGCCCCACTTTTTTTTACCTGGTCCTCTTTACGTACACTTTTAAGAGAGGATATAAATTTCACTGACAAGAGTCCTTGTAATGATAATACAACATCTGAAATGAATAAAAGGAAATTATACCATGAATATCATCTATAAGAAAGTATTAATTAGATGAGATACACTTCATTATATGTTGTGTACCTCATACAATCAAAATAAGTTTTAAAAAAACTCATTTGTCTAATTAATCTTTAATTATTCATCATCATTTATAGCCTGTTCGGGCAAGCTTTTTCTTGGTCAAAAGTGATTTTTTTGTTGTTGTTGCCAAAAGTGATTTTTTTAAAAGTTGAGGTGTTTGGCCAAACCTTTAGAAGAAAAAAAATATTTTTTTGAGTAGAAAAAGTTTTTGAGAAGCACAAAAAAAAATAACTTCTTCCCAAAAACACTTTTAGAAAAGTACACTTAAAAACACTTTTAAAAGCTTGACCAAATTTTAATTGCTGCTCAAAAGTATTTTTCAAATTAATTAGTCAAACACAAATTGTTTCTCACCAAAAGAATTTTTTTAAAAGCACTTTTGAGAAAAACACTTTTCAAAATAAACTGATTTTAGAAGTTTGGTCAAATAGGTTAGACAAACAAGTCACGATATGACGTTCCACAATATTGATCATTCAAATAAACTTATAATTATTTGCTCAAAGCTTTATTTTAATAATGTAGTCATTATTTTATAAAATATTTTTACATAACTCGGAATACACGTGCATCGCACGTGCCGAGAAACTAGTTAAAGTAAAAATGAAAAGTTTGAAATTAAGGAGTTTTATGTATAAAACATGCGGAGTATGTCGTTTTTTAAATAAACTAAAAAAACGCGTGTGATATGAAGTGAAATAGAGTAAGTAAAAGAAAAATTCCGGTAATTATGTAATCATGTAAGCAAACAAATGCTCGTAATTAATTTATTTGAAAAACTAAAGAAAGCGTTGATATTGGACGATGTGATCAATTATTAATTAAGATAGTAATATATTGGATTCAAAGGATTATAGAGCCGTTTGTTCATAAGTTTTTTTTCTTCTTTTTTTCGAAATTTATTTTTAAAAATGTGTTTGTCCATGAAATTTTACAAGTTTTTTGAAAAAAAATTCGAAAATGAGTTTTTCAAAAATCAAAAAGTGATTTTGACCATTATTTCAAAATTTTCGGAAAATTTTTTTTCCCCACTCACAAAACTGCAATATTTTTTCAAGTGAAACGCATGTTCAAACATAATTTCAAATTCTAAATACTATTTTTCAACTTAACTCCAAATACTATTTTTTTAAAAAATATTATAATTTTTATTTCCAAACGCCTACTATATTAGCGTTTGCAGTTTATGTATGAATATCTTTAATGAAGCTTTCTTTGGAAACGTTTTAGGAACATATTTTTAAAAGATGATATGTTGTTGGATAATTGTTACATGGATTTACAACAATTGATATTCACGCAAAGAACTCAAGATATATTTGTATCAATTTAATTTTTAAAACTACTTTTTTCACGAATAAGTTTCCAATTTTTCTAAGCAACCGAAGAATGGACCTCCCTTGACGTGTTCAAATGAGGATAATATATGTTTTTTTTTGTGCCTACAATCGTTAAAAAGTGAACCAAAATGATCATTGGTTTTATTTTATATTCATATTGGAGTTTCGACTAATTTAAATTTACGACATAAAATTCTTTAAAGAAGGAGATGCTCCCTACTAACTTTTTTTCATTTTCGTCTATCCATCCCATCTTTTGTAGGTAATCAGTAATCACGCCCCTCTTAAAGTCTCTTTAAACTCTAATCACACCTTCGAAATTCGAAATATATTATAAATAAGGATTTATAGGATAAATCAGAACATTGGTCACAGAAATAAGAATAAAAAGATGTTTTGCTGTGAACTGTGATATATCATTCTCAAATGAACAAAAAAGTGAACACAACTAAATGTATTTAATGAAAGACACTATTGGAATTTCTGGAAATTTCAACCAAAAAATCGGCTGAAAGGCCATCTGAAATAAACAAGCTATTAGCGGCTTCTTGGAGCTGGAGGTGCTGCAGTTGACGAAATCCAGCTCTTTGGATGAACTTTTTATGAAAAATAATTTGACGACGTTTTTCATAAACATCACGAGTTGTAGTGAATGGATAAAATTCCTTCCATCTTAAAGTAAATGTCTTGTATTAGAGTCTTCCGAATTGAAGCTTTTTCCCTTTAATAGATCTTGTGTGGCGAAAGTTTGAATTAATTGGGACGGCAATGCAGCTGAGTGAGAAAAAAAACATAATAATTTAGTAAACATTAGAAAATTATAGTAATGAGATGACAATACCTTAATCGAGGTGCACTCAAAGGCGAGATGGTGTAAAAAGAGTGAAAATCTCATAAATATATAAATGGCGAATGATGATTGACGAGCAAATTTAAAAAGAAAAATGCTACAAGAACAACAAACCCATTTTAATATCACAAGTGAGGTCGGAGGAGAATAGTATGTATGCAGATCTTATCCTTATTTTATGTATATAGAAAATCTGATTCTAATATATCATCGAATAAAAAAAATATAAAAAAGAAGAAGAAGCAAGGTGACCCAAAAGGGGTGACCTGAGAACACAAGTGCATTTAGATTTTAGCCAAAACAAAAATACCAAAATGCACATGTGTTCCCATGTTCACTCCTTTGGGGTGCACCATTGTTCATTGATAATGACCATAATGAGTATACACTTTAATATGTTTGGCCTTCTTTTATAGTGTTCATGTAAAGCAATTGCAGCATCACAATGTGGTCATTCTATCAACACAAGGAGAATATTATGTTGTCATATTTCCCAAATCATTGTCATAACCTATAGTATAATATTCATAAAACTGCCCTAAGCTTAATAAATAAATATTTCAAAAAGAAATAAAAATAAGGAAAGTAATTGAATTTTACAAAATAGATAAAGTTTCTATTACACGTGAGTTGATTATACTTATGCTAGTGCTATTTATGTGTATGTTGAAGGATTACATAGAAAGTACGGTAACACTTTTCAAGTAATTTACCTATTAGATTGCCTTGACCTTTTCAAAGACCGTTAAAATTTTCTATCCAAATTCATAAAATTCTAATTCTGAATGAATGAGTGCAACTATGTGTCATCGGATTATGCTCTCTAGCTTTGAAGGCTCGCTTAGAAAGTTCATTGGATCTAATTTTGCTCATATATCACTGTTTAAATATAATTTTATTTTGACTCGAATAAACTTTTTTCAATTTTAATTTATAACTCGTTTACTGATTCAATTCATTTCAATGAAGTGGGTTGAGAACTATAGTTCCAAATTCAACCCCAATCGAAGAAAAAAAATATTAAGTGATCTCTTCGATGGATTATACATTACAGTTATCAAAAAGACATTTGTCTAACAAACATACAAATATATAGGGCACGTAATCTAAACCTGTTAGGTGTCCATTCAATCAGAGTCTTGGAATCGAAATTTTATGCACTTCTTTTTCTCAAAATGTTAGATTACTTATAGGAAGTGAGTTGTATACGGACCCTCGCTCTAGGGCCACACATCTTTTGTATTTGTATTTGTATTTGTATTTAAGGAGAGACTTGTGACTCGACCTTAGCAAGTTGTATTTCCATTTTCCTGTCCTTTTCAGTGCTTTTTCTTTTTTCTATTTCTTGATTTTCACAGAGATAGTTCGAATGCAGACAAGAGTTGTCTATTAGTAATGCAATCACAACTAAAAGTTGATATTGCTACTATTATAATATTGCAAAGAGAAGTTTTTCCTTTGATCAAGAGTCATTTAGGGAAGTTGATTTTCACAGTGTACATGTTCCCTCAAAAAAAAAAAGTACGAAATTGAGATTCTTAAATATTCCTTCAATTTTTAAAAAACATGATCTTTTGAAAAAAAAGAAGATAATAATTGTTCTATTCAAATAAATGAATATACTCAAATCATTCATGTCAAAAGTCAAACTAAAATAAGGTATTTTAAGGGAAACATAGTTATATGAGGCTTCTTTTTGTTTCAAAAATTAATAAGCTCAAATTTTATACTTTTGAGTTCACAAACCTTGAGACTAGCAGCTTTTTAAACTAAAAGTATCATCAAACAATTCGTGTCTGATAATTTGTGTAAGACACAAAATAAAAAATTTCAGAGTCGTCTAACAATGAAACCACAAGTCAGAGTTGATATTGCTACAATTATAATGTTACATAGAGAAGCGTTTCCTTTTGAGAAATCATTTTTGCAGAGCTAATATTTATAATAATACCTGTATACGCCACTTGTTAAAGAAACGTATTCGCTTTGGAGCTCCGATTAAGTTAGATTTGTGCCGCTGAAGCTAAAAAGGGCGCAGGCTATAAGTGTTTAAACTTATAGATGACATTTAAATGCTTAAAATTTTCAATGTGGTAATCGCATACTTCAATATGTTATAAAATTAACAGAGATTATAGATTTGAATTTTACCGTCACTTATTATCAAAAAGAATTTTCACGTGATTGGTACAAAAAAAAAATCAAAACCATACTGGAGGAGGCATGTGAAAGACTTAATTAGATAAATAAAAATATACTTTCTTTAATAGTTTAAAGTTTTAGCTGAAATCATCACGTAATTTAACATCACAAAGAAAAAAAAACAAATAGGTACGATTATATAAGATCATGTTATAAAATAAAGATCGTAAAGTAAAGAATTCGAAGAGAAGTTTAGAAAGAGATTGATATATTATTCAAGCTCAAACTGTTGTACATAATTGTAACACCTAGGAAAATTTCGAAGTACTTAAGCGTTATTAAGAAAGTTGATGTGCGCTAATTATATTATTTTGTGTGAAGATGAGGACTATTAATATGATGGATATCAATTGGATATGATAATAAGTGTACGAGACATATTATAAGTGATGTGGAGTCTAAGGAGAGCCCTAAATCTAAGTCAAGTTGGAAATTTCATGATAGACTAAAGTTCCAAATGAGTACGCACAAGACCAAACNAACCAGTGTATCCCAGTTCTAGGCACCGATTTTGCGGTCCATTGTGCGACCCGCATACCGATTGTGCGATCGATTATGCGACCGCACACCTGAGTTCGGAGGGTTATTTTTTTTATTTTCATAACCCAACCCCATTTTGATAAATAGGCTTTTGGGCTTATTTTGAGACAATTATCTGAGGTTTTTAGAGAGAAGTGAGAGTGTTCTAGAGAGAGGAAGTAGATGAAGTATTTTGTTCACCAAGATCTTGTTCAAGCTTTGAAATCCAACAAGGAAATCTCACAAGATCTTCACTCAAGAGGTAAGATTCAAACCCCTAGTCTTCAATTTCGAGTTTGGGGTAAAAGATGGGTGATTGGGAGTATGATTCTTGGGTGTAAGAGTATTAATTATACATGCTTGTACCAATAAGGTTTGTGGTAAGATTGTTGAGCTAAAATAAGTAAAGAGCAGGTTGAGGAGTGAAGGAAATCTTGTAGAAGAACCTTGTAACCAAGTTTGCACACCTAGTATTTGATAAAATTCTCAAATGAGCTGAAACCATGAATATCTTCCTAATCTGTGTTCAATTTTGTTATGTCTCAAAATAGATTGGGATTGCTAGAATTTCCGTAACATTGTAGTAATTTAAGAAAAGCTCAAAGTGAGGTATGTAGGCTAAACTACTCTCTTAAAATTGAATTCCATGATGTTCCCGTAAGTTCCAAGTATGGTTGTATCAAGTTCCTTATTCTATGTTCCGAGATGTTCCCAATAAATTCGATTGTCCCGAATAAGCAAAGTGTCGAGAATTATATATTCAAAACGTGTTATGAATGCTCATATCACATTATATTATCCTTTGGGAATGTGTTCAAGAATGATATGTATATTAAAATGCTATGTCTTTGAGTCGTGTTTCAAATGAAGGTTATGATGCCAACTTGTGTGAGAAAATCTCAATATGCTTAAGACTCTTAATTGCTCATATGTGTACCTAAAGTCTTGAGTGGAAATGTCTTATTGTTGATAATCTATAAAGATGGTTGGAAGTGAAATAAGTGAATTGGGAATATAAAGTGTGACCAACGTGCCAAGAGTAAAAGTTATACTTGTGGTTAATGGTGCCAATGAAATGAAATGATGTGAGAAAGGTTAAGTTCATATATTCCGAATTGACTTCGAAAATAGAATTGCCTAAAAGCTTATGAACACAAGTCATGCCCATATGTGGCTGTTTTAACTAATGCTATGCTTTGTGAGTATTTTCAATGTGTTTTGCGTTCTTACATATTCGTGAGTAGAAATTGTGTATTGCCCTTTTTGGGGAAAAGTATTTCAAGAATAAATGGTGTGTTACTTGTTGATGATTTTAACTTGCGCATCAATTGCCAATTATTTTACTCCATTTCTCGGAAAAAAACCTATTGTGCTTAAATTATTCATTTTTAATGAACTTAAAGTTGTGATTTTCGGAATATTATATATGTTGATATTTATGATGATGATACATGAGAGGGAAGAAATAAAAGTGTGGAATATCAAATACGGCCATCATGCCTTGAATAAAGAATCTTGTGAATGGTCAAAAGAGCCAAGGGAATATTGTTGCTGTTATTGATTGAAAATACTAGTGGAGATTCATACAATGTGAAAGATGATGAGGTAAATACATTTGTACCTATGTTATTTTTGTGAATTATTCCCCTTATTTGGGATGATATTGATGTGATAAAATTATTTCCCTTATTTGGGATGATATTGATGTGATAAAATTATTCCCCTTAATTGGGATGGGATTGATTGATAGAAAAGGATGATGTTGATCCACAGGGAATTGTGGTGAGATGGCCTAGCCGATCGGGTCGTGATCGGACACCATGCCGCACACATGGTGGTGATTGTGCTGGAAGTTGTAATTGAAATTGTTATTGTGGCTGATGTCTCTAATGAGATGGCCTAGCCGATCGGGTCGTGATCGGACTCCGTGCGAAAAATACGGTGGTATTAGTATTGAGAGTGATTGTGGTTGATGTCTCTAATGAGATGGCCTAGCCGATCGGGTCGTGATCGGACTCCGTGCTAAAAGTACGGAGGTATTGGTATTATGAATATTGGTATTGTAAAATGGGATATTGTGAACAGTGATATATCGGTGCTAAAGATCTCCCAACCAAAAATAATATTATCAACATATTTTGATTATCACTTCACAGTGTTATCTTCATATTTTGGGAATTATTATGTTTTAACTTGGCATTTGAATATCATTGATTGTTGATTGTTGTTTCCACGTTTTTCCCTTTCTTACATTGGCATTCTATTTTGAAAGAGGACAGTTAGCTTTACATACTAGTACTATTCCATATGTACTAACGTCTCTTTTGTCGGGGCGCTGCATCTTTAATGGATGCAGGTGATTCATCAGCGAGCAGCTTTGGTCCTCGTTAGCAGTCGCTCTCTATTCAGCAGATTTTGGTTAGCCCTACTCTATTCCGAGCTTGATGTCATTCGAGTTGTACATTGCATTTTGAGGTATAGCCGGGGCCTTGTTGCCGGCACTTTTATACTACTCTTCTGTTGTACTTAGAGGCTCCGTAGACAAGTTGTGGGTGGTAGTCGAATGTTGGAAATTGAACTAGAAATGTTGTATTTGGCAACATGTTTTTCATTATATCTATGAACTTATAATATTTTGGAAA